TAATAAGTATATTTATACTAGTATTAAAGCTATAGATAGAATACTCTAATATATCTAGAAAAAAATATTAATTATTATTTAAAATACTCTAATTTTTATATAATATAAGCCCTATATAAAAATTTTCTAAGTTACTTAATACTTTAAAGTAATATTTAAAATTTTAATTTTTAATTATACCTCTTTATTAAATAAATATACTAATTATATTACCTCTATAACTTCTAATACTTTAATTTATAAATAAAAATTTTATAAATATAACCATAAAGAAGATTTATTTTTAAAATTTAATAAAGGTAGTTACTAATCTAATAAAGTTTCTAATATTCTATAGGTAGCTTTATATTAGAATAATTAAACTTATTAATAAATTTACTAAGTTTTAGTATTTTTATACTTAAGATAAATTAATTAAATACTACTCTAGTAATTTTACTTATAATAAATAGAATAAATTAATCTTCCCCTCTAATATTATTCTATATATTTATAGTAGAACTAAATACTTTTATTAAGATAATTTTAATAATTATATTAAATATAAAATTTTTATTAGTAAAAATATAAAAATAGAGACTCTTTATTATAAAGAAGCTATTATTAAAATATAAAATATACTTTAATATTATATTAATAATTATAGTGATAGACTAGTAAAATTTAATTTATTATTCTATTAAAATAAAATTTTATTATTAGAAAATAAGAAGTAAATATATATTTTAATAATTAAAATACTTTTATAAGTCATTATTTATACTAATATTATATTTAAAATAAGTTCTAGAATCTACTAATAAGTACTAAATTATAATATAGATAATTTTGGATATTTTCTCTATTAAGTAATTTTAATAAGTTCTAGTATTATTAAAGAAAAATTTTACTATTAAATATTTTTACCTTATAGTAAGCTAGAACTTTTAATATATAGTTAAAAATAACTTACTTATATATTCTACTTTAATAGCCTAGTTATTTTACTACTATTTCTTTTATTTATTAATAGCTTTAGTTTATATAGAAATATATACAGAACTTTTATAAATATATACTTAATATCTATAGTTAGTAATATTAATTAAAATAAATATTTAAATATTTTTATTTTAATATTTAGGCTATATAATACTAATTTTAATAATATTATTAAAGTTTTTTCTACTAATATACTTAAGCTAAATAATAAAAGAATTATTATTTAAATTAGTAGAGAGATTATTTAAATTATTATATTCTATATAATATTTTTAAATAATATATTATATTAGAATAATAATATAGAAATTAAAAGGCTAATTAGATAATATTTATACTATTTTTATATAATTAATAAAAGTAATAAGTCTAATTTTGATTATAATATTTTAAAAAATAATAAATATTATTATTAAAATATTTTTCTCTAATAGATAATTAATAAGACTACTTCTATTATAAGAAAAATTACTCTACTTAAAAGGTATAAATTCATAAAGTATACTTTTACCCTTCTAAAAATTTATTCTGGTCTTAATTTATAGATATTTTTCCCCTCTAATCTATATTATAGTAAGTATATAAATATATTAAAAATAGCTTATTACCTACTTATATTTATAATTCTTACTTTAAATAATTAAGAGTAGTACCTTTAAATACCATAGAAGTTCCTTTTTTTAAAAGATTAGAGTTATTTATAATCTCTAATTATTTATTTAAAATCTTACTAGCTTTAAGAGTATATAAGAGCTTTTATATTAATTTTATTTATTCTCTACCATTATAGTAAAGAAATATAAATTTAATTTATTATTTAATATACTTTTTTAGTAATATTTATTTTATAAAATCATAATAGAATTAATATACTAGTTAAAGTATTTATTATAATTATAAGAAGTAATTTTATTTTTATAACTAGCCTTCTAATTATGTATAATTAGAAGAAGGTCTAGTTTATTATAAAAATAGCTTACTAACCATTATAGTAACTAATAAATATAGTTATATCCACTATTAATACTTATAGGTTCTATATAGTATTATAGAGTTATAGCTATAGAATAAGTAAAGTACTTTTATTAGTAGTATTTACTCTAGAAGTAGTAGAGCTAGTAGAAAACTAGTAAGTAGAGTAGACTAAGCTTAACTTAGTATATAGAATTAAAATTATCTAAACTATAAAAAATAGGCTAAATATATATATTAGTCTACATTACTTTAACTAGATTAAAGAATATATATTAGTAAATAATTATAATATTCTCTCTAGTAAAAATAAGTACTATAATTATAAATTACTTATTTACTATACTAACTATAAAAATATTAAAAAGTTTCTACTATAGTAAGAAAATTATTAGAAAATAATTAAATTAAGTATTTATAATATATTTTTAGAAGAGAAGCTAAAATTAATAGAGATATTCTAAGTACTATATATAAAGTACTTAAGTATATTTAATAATTTTCTTTACTTTAATATAGTACTTCTTAATAATAATTCAGTAGAGGCTCTTTTAACTTATAAATTTTTAAATATTTAGTTTATATTACTCTTCTATTAAATAACGAAATAATTCAATATATCTTTACTAAAACCTATAACTATTAGTAATATATATTTATTTATTAAAATATTATATAAAGTATATAAAATTAACTAATTTAAGCTCTCTATTTTAGAATTTAAGTTTTAGCTAATTTAATTTTATTGGAAGGTAAGTTTTATCTTTAATAATTAAAATTAGAGAATAATAATTATATAAAAAGATATTATTCTATATTAGAATAACTAATTAGATTAGATTTAAGTTATTTTTATCTATATACTCTATAATATTTATTAAGTCTTCTTATATATTATTAATACTTATAAAATTAAGAGGGACCCTCTACTTTTATTATTAATATTATATATTAACTCTAAACTATATACTATTATTAATTTATTAGTAGTTAAATTAAGCTAATATATTATTTCTATTAATATTAATAATAGTAATAATATTTTATAGCTCTAATAGGCTACTAGAGCCTTTAATTTTATTTAATACTAATAGAATATTTTATTTTTATAGTAGAATATAGTACTCTAATAAGCTCTAATATAGAATCTCTAGTACTAAATTAAGATAATACTATATTAATATATAGTACTATAAAATACTAATATATTATGGTACTAACTTATATTAATTCTAAATAGTACTAATTTATTATAATACTAAATATTTTTAGTATTAAAAAGTTATCTATATATAAACTAATAGAAATATATATATTTAATTAAAATATTTTAGAATATCTCTAGTATTTCTATAGTTTCTTAATAAATTAGTACTTTTTTAAATTATAGTTTTGGAATAATTTTTCTACCATTCCGAAAAACCCCCAGACGGCCCTATGGTAGTTACCAGGTACAGAGTACGGAGGAGTAAAACTCCATTAACTAACTTCTTCGGCCGAAAGGCAAACAGAAGCGCCGGGCGACCAGAGCCACCGACAGATGGGGAACCTCTTGTTCGATGACACAACACCTATCGTGATGGTTCATTCTACGGGCCCCATCCGAACGTCATTCGGCAGGAACAAGGGAGGTAGTGATGGGAAATGGACAAATGGTATCAACTTATGGATAAGCATGGCCAGGAAGTCCGGATCCTGTGAGCAGAACCAATTCAGGTAGTCTTCAATTGACCATGACCAAAGGACAAGGTACGGAAACAGCGGATAAACTGGGGATGGCAATTATCAAATCAAGAGCGTGAAATACTGATTTTGGGTTTGGAGGTGGAAGAGCCTACGATATCATTCCAACACCCGAGAAGATACCTTGTTCCCCGGAATTGGAAGCACCACTACACCCTCTGGAGGCATTCTCAAGCGGAGACCGGCGTACTGTTTATTAACCATGCTCCGGACCCCTTGTTGCCTGGCATCGACTGACGCATGGAGCAAATGTCGTATTTCCACATACTCGGGAGGCTAGACTGTTCGAATGCCAACATTACGAGGAAGCAAGGAACAGTCAAATGTCTAGTGTGTCCCCAGCACTTTATTACCCCCAGGGGCTTTCCCAAATATTGTTGTTATGCACCTGTGTGAAGGCATGACATCAATGCTTTTTATGGAACATTTGTTGGTGGCTGCTGGGTCTTGGTAGTATGGAGGCATAGTGGACCGACCATTCAGACATTGAGCGCCTCTGAAATACCCTGGTACAGCAATATGTTGAGCCGGAAGGACGCTACCTAGGTACTAATGTACGCTGGGCCGACTACACTTCGATACGCAAATAACGCCAAGTATTGGAGGTTTCCTTTCTGGCTGCTTATACCTGAGCCTGGCTGCAGAAGACTCCACTTCGGGTATGAAATCTCGTCTAGTATACCATGCAAATGGAGATAGATCCTTGCGGAATTTACTGAACTATATGGAGTAGAGAAATCCAAGTTTGGATTTCGCTTCTCGCAATAAGGAATCTACAAGGATAAATAATGATGTAGAGTATAGGAGGGCATATACCATAGTTAACAAGCCCTTACTTGCTGCCCTATTGATATGCTTCCTAGCATATAGCGGCTCTTTGAAGCGGATGAATACAGGCTATGAATTATACTAACATAAAGGCACTTCGGCCGCAAAGGCGATAACCATCTTCTTGTCAGCATGATGGATCAATAAATAACAATTATATCTCTTCCTAGCTGCACTTGGATATACCCCCTTGCTACCGGAGATGCAGGTTCTTGTTCCTAAACATTACTATATGCAGTCCAACTCTTCCAGTATCCATGAGCGTTATGGTTGGTGATTGTCATCCCACGATGGCAGGGGCATTGGTCTCGTTTTCCCCTATACCCTGTATCAAAACAATCCTCCCATGACTCCCCGTTCGAATATTCAAGGTACCTCTCGGAAGAGGCAATTGGATTCACCAACTCGGCACTTGAGGATGGGAAATACAGAAAGTATAGGAGATAACACATCATGTCCATAGGTATAAATACTGAATGCTTTTCCCTTCCTTTTTCCTGACTCTCACACCCAGACACTCCATCAAAACTCCTCTCTCACTCAATCTAAAGTCCCTCGAACCTTTTAGCCTCGCCTTCGCCTACCTCCCTTTCAAAATGAGAACCTCTATTCTCTTCTCTATTGCTGCTAGCCTTCTAGGGGCAAGTGTATGTATTCCCCAATATTTAGCACAAGATATATGGCTGTGATCACTCATGCAAGATAGGCACAAGCCGTGGAAGCTCCTATTAAGGGGTACGGAGTTGAACCCTTTTCCTGGGAGGTCAAGGCTACCGCTAATGGGCCTCCCCTGACCCTGAACGGTACTGTCGAGGAGGTCCATTCCCAGCTCCTCAAGATCAACCCCAACTATGATATCGAAATGGCCACCTCTGGGCGCAAAAGGGAGCACGCCAGAGATATTCACGGGCTATTTAAGCGTGACAACGTTATCTGCGGCAGACAGCGGGAATGCTCCCGTAAACGCATCGAGGAAGGCATTGCCTACCTCTATCGTGTACCAGGTCGCCCTACAAACGGCCCCGGACCTGGAAACTGCGGCAGAGTCAGCTGCTCCTATGACTCTGCTATTTGGTGGTGCAACGACGTAAGTGCATATGTCTATAACATGACCTCTTTATGTTGTATACTCATGGAAATTTAGAATACGTTTACAAAGGTTCTCCCTGGGTTCTACAACGTCGCCGAGGGTGCCCAGTTGATTCTCAACACTTGCAACCCTGGTGGCTCATATGTTTCCGGTCAAGACTTCCATGATGACAAGTGGAACGTTATTGTGCAGTATACCCAGTGCTAAATTGGGCGAATATTACAGCGTTGATTTATTGTCTATTTCATCCCAAATGGGAAGTTAGTCTTCATGTTCCTTCAACGCATGTTAGTCTCTTCAACGAATTCGGATGGAGTAAATTCACATGTATACATTTATGTACATATGTCGAATAAATTCATAGGTCTCCGGTCACATTTACTTTTAATTTTCCTAGACCTAACAAGCTAAGCAATGTTATTACTCATTAATTCCAGGCCATCAGAATTACTCTAGTTAGTTAACAGGGAATAAACAGTTAATTGGTAGCTAGGCAGATTACCTATAACTAATAACTAATACCACGCCAAGCCTTTTATCTTAACTAGGTACCTAAGTGGTTCAGAACCTGCAGGTTGTCACATCCAAATCATGATCACATTCGATGTAAAATAGAGCAATTGAGCTCCTATGTATCGACTGCAAACGTCAATGCATGATTTAACTGTCCTTTGTCAGGTTGAGATTCAGGGCTTGAATGAGACGCCTCCAAAAAAAAAATAAAAAAAAAAAAAAGGATATCTTGCTAGAGTTCTACCATCTCACCTATCGCAAAGACGGCTAGTTAATAGAACCGATGGATTCTCAAGTTACACTCAACAAACAAGGCCACACTGAAGCCAATGTCTAGCTGTGCTGATATCGGCAGTTTCCCCAAACGCGGAGAAGCGGAGCCCCGAAGTTAAGCTCTGGCCTATGACTAGCTACTTAAAACCCGGGCTTTACCTCGGGCTTGTCTGATTCTTCGTCTTCTTCGCTTGCTCGTCGTCCCTTCGTCAACCATCAAGAAGCCTTCCTCGCACGTAGCAGTATGGCGGCTAGTAACAAAATCGTTGTTATTGGGTATGTTGGTGCCGGGGTTGAAATGTTACTCTTTGTTCATTTGTTCTAACGAATGCACCTTTCGCAGGGGTGGAGTTATCGGGTTAACGACCGCCTACTTGCTCTCCAAGGATAAGTCGAACCAGGTCACTGTTGCTGCAAAGCATATGCCTGGGGACTATGACATTGAATACTGTTCTATGTGGGCTGGTGCCAACTTCCTTCCGTATGTTTAATGGTTTTCTAGATCTGAATGAAGGTTCCATTTAGTCAGGCCGTGGCATAGCCCAGGCTGCCCGGCTAGTTTGCATTCTACGTCCGGTAATTATGCTAATCGATGGTCAATTCACGCATTGGTCGTGAAATAGAACTGGTGCTGAGGGCTCTGCGCATGCCCGGTGGGAAACAAATACCTGGCCTGTTCTCGAAGACCTGGCTCAAAATCACCCGGAAGCCGGCATACATTTCCAAAGTAAGAATGTTTACAATATGCCTAAACTACTAGTTATGCTAATTCATAACTACAGAGTCGGTTGTAATAAATCGAAAGAAGGATGCAAATTTCTCTACAGGACTATGGTTCAAAGAGCTACTCCGTCCTGATCCTTGGTACAAGGACATTGTGCCTGGTGTATGAATATTCATACCCAAATATCCCATGTTTGAGTCGAAACTACGACCATAATATAGTTAGCTAACAGCCGGCTGCAAAGTTCACGCTTACTCCTGATAGTGATCTTCCAGAAGGAGTAGATAACCAAGCCGAGTTCACTTCAGTTTGCATGAATGCGCCTGTCTACCTTGCATGGTTGGTGTCACAGTGCTGCAAGAATGGGGCCGTGTTCAAGCGTGCTACTTTCAAACATATATTTGAAGCCGCCAAAGTACATTCCTCTGGCCAGAAGCCTGATCTTATCGTCAACTGTACCGGCCTTGGGTCACTGAAGCTAGGCGGAGTCGAGGATACTAAGATGTACCCTGCTCGTGGCCAGGTTGTGGTTGTGCGAAACGACCCAGGTGCCATGTATTCCTTATCTGGCTGCGATGATGGGGATGATGAAGCTTGCTACATGATGACGAGGGCCGCCGGTAAGTATTCACCTCACACTAATCAACTAGAGATTAACGGTTTTTGTAGGGGGCGGAACTATCCTAGGCGGATCCTACCAGGTAAATAGCTGGGACAGCCAGCCAGAACCCAGCCTAGCAGTACGCATCATGAGGCGATGTGTTGCCGTCTGCCCTCAACTTGTTGGCAAAGATGAAAATGGCAAGCAGAGAGGTATTGAGGGTCTTGACATCATTCGCCATGGTGTTGGCCTACGACCTCTTAGACAAGGAGGTACGAGGGTTGAAAAGGACCAGATCGATGGCATTGCCGTGGTGCATAATTACGGCCATGGTGGATTCGGATACCAGACTTCATTTGGATGCTGCGTTGAAGTTGCTGCTTTGGTGAAGGAAGTTTTGGCAGAAAAGAAGATAAAAGCTCGACTTTAGGGTATCTAAGACTTTTACCGTATAAGTGTCCGCTAACCAGGTTAAGCCCTCGATATAAATGTCTCTGACGCCGAGAATCCCATACTTAGATCGCCAGTGAGTTAAAAAGAATATGTTTTAGGGACTCGCTCTCAATTAGACAGCCAAATTTGAGTATATTTATACAAAAACCATAAGATGTATTCTGCTCCCAATCAAATGCTCATCACTCCAAGCTATCAACTCGTCATCATCCATCACCTTGTAACTAATACCCCTTTCCTAAAAAGGAAGGAGATTATAAAGCACGTGACAAGGACTACGTAATTTCTTACTAAGCTAATAACAAATGCTTGCGCCTTGATGCTTGCGTTTATTATTGCTTTCAACAGCAAACAACAACAGCTACAAGGTACGTAAGGTGATGTCTTTAAAGCTCTCATCAAGGACATCCATCTCTGTGTCATCGGGAATCGCGTTGCTGACCGTGTTAATAGCTAAGCGTAACCTTTCCTTAATCGCTAAAGCCTCGCCGACGTCAGCAAGCTAGCTGCCTCGAACTCCCTCGCTGCCTAGGCCACGACATTCCTCTCACGACGACCACGAGCTTTATTTAACAGGCTGATATTCGCTTTTTGTCTTTTGAAACGTATTGCACAACGCCGAAATTTCATACACTTTCCTGCACCCTTTTGTTATTTGCGAAGATATCCGACAGAAACGAGGAACTTTACGACAGCTTTTACGACAACTCTGTTCATTCAATTAGTGTATCATATCAACAAGCAAAATGGATCTCTCTAATGCATTGTGAGTATATGATGTGGCAGTACCGCGTGCGCCATGCTGGCTCTGCGACTGCGTTATTTCTTTCAAATCTCCGAGAGCTAACATATCTTGACTCTGTAGCCGTTTGGTCAACTTGGGGGTGGGTGTTATAATGATCTTGGGTGGAATCAGTCAGTTCTTTTCAGGCCCGCTGTTGTAAGTTCATCTTCCGAGCCTGTCAATACATTATTTTGGGCGAGAACTAAATAGCGTTGTTTTAGCCGAAATATCATCATCGGAGTCTATGTCATCCTTTTCGGTCTAGGTATGGTGCTCCTATTCTCCGGACTAATCTATAGTCTGGTTGTGGATGTTATATTATAATAGTTTACGGGTGTGCTAATGTGGACATTCTATCACAGCCACCGCTGGTATGGAGCTGGTACCGAACGTTCCACCATACATAACCAGGCATGTGTCCTTCATGTTCTCCTTCATCGGACGAGGAATCTGTAAGTTGCATCAACCTTATTACCCACATATATAGCGCCTTCCTAATATCTACTGCAGTTTACGTCTTCGTTGGCTGCATCATCCTCGAGTATAACGTTCTGCGTATCATTGCCGGATCGCTTATCGGAATCGTCGGCCTGGGCTACTGTGTGCTCGAGTACATTCCATCCATAGAACCACCAGCCAACATGCGCGAGGATGGTGGTGACCCAGGCTGGGGCGCTGAGCAAGTTTAACGGTGGTCCTGGCCCCCATCTAATCTTGACACGCACCAGGAATTCGCTCCCGATACTGTGTCCCGCTAAAGCCCTTGCTCTTAATTTTGCGAAATATCCTATATCAATCCTGACATTATTCCTTTTTCCCTGCTTACCTGCAACGTGCAAATGAGAACTGGGGTGGTTAGATTATACCGTTTCTTCTTCACTGGCCTACCCCCTATCGACAACTTTCCGGTCTTCTTGTCTTCTGCTCTTATCATATTTGGGATATACCATTATTATTACAACTTGCTCCCGCTTTACTGTACTGTACTGTAGTATGCTACTTTTACGTATATGAGTCCACTACTTTCCCTGCCGCTAGCCCCTTTTCTCCTGTTTATTCCCTGTCTGGAGTCAATGCATGCACGACCCCTTGCTAGGGCGAACTTCCCCGGCGACCAGGGTGATATCACGTGTTACTAGTCCAAAAAAGGAAATAGCCAATAAAGACTCTCGGAGTTATGCTTACGTTTGTCTCCGGCCAATCAGACAGCGTGTAGATGCCATTACAAACGCCAAGCCCCAAAAATAAGAACGCGCGACGGCTTAGCAAGTGGGGCTGATGAGGTTAAATTTCTTATCAGCAAATCTGATCAGCCGAAAGACGAAGCGGACGAACGACGAGATTGTGACGACGAGGGCGTAAAAGGGCGGGAGAAAAAAAAAGGGAGCAACGAGGAGATAGAAGGCCAGATCAGGAAACGTTTTTATCTAGGCGATAACCGGAAGACAAGGATCAAAGGGCGGGCGGACGGAGGTTCCAGGCTTGCGGTGGCGTGCTGCGTGCACTGATGATCAAGATAAGATAATCAACGGGGAGAGATAATCAGATTCGCTCGTCCGTGAATAAGAAACGTACGCAGAACCAGCCGCAGCACCACCATGACGAAAGGAGAAAGACGAAGGCGAAAAAGAAAGCATCACACGACCCAGAATCAAGCATCAGCGAGCGCGCTTGCAGCAGATCGTCTCGACCTCGCTTTCAACGGTCACCTCGCCCCCAGAATCGGTGTATAAGATAGCTGAGGCACTCGAGACCCGGTGGGTAAACTCAGGCAGGCGGAACAAAAGGAAGCGAAAACCTTGGTGAAGATCTGATAAGGACAAGCATTTTTTTTTTTTCTTCCTTTTTTTCAGTTTCTC